TGTGTGCAGCGGCGACCACTTCCATGACGTCGTCGGCAAACAGATCCGGTGAGAATTTGTGCGGCAGATCGCCAGGTGCGCTCCTTCCTTGCCCGCGGCAATCCAGGGCAAGCACCGGGTGGTGGGGCGACAGCGCCGGGACCAGTGAGGTCTCAAATGATCGGGCAGTTCCACCACCACCGTGGATAAGAACGACAGGCATGCCCTCGCTCGAGCCGCCCTCCACGTCGGCAACCGGCACGCGAGCCAACTGCGCGTCCCGAGCCAACGGATCGGCGCCATCGCACAGGCCCGCCAGCCGCCGCATAGCTCCAGAGAGGCCACTGGCGTTGTGCTGCACTGCCAGAAGGCGCTGCTGAGGCTCTGTTTCAGCTGAAGCTGCCCCGTGCGCCGCCGCGAGCACCGCGTAGTGGTCTCGCCCTCTGGAGAGCCCCAGCACGACCCCTCGCGGCCACTCGCGCCGTTGCAGCAGCTCCGACCCCGCCACTCCGGCTCCCGAGCGCGCGGCGAGCACGAGGAAGAGCATGCGCATGGGCCAAAATCCGTTACCTCAGCGAAGTCCGTCTTGAATTCTCACAAGCCGCCGAGCCGCCGAGCCGCCGACCGCCATTTCTGGACATCGCCACGCCCGCCGCCGCAGTCGTCGACTTCTCTACCCGCGAGTGGAAGCTAGGCTTGGCTGGCGACGAGGCGCCTTCTCTCGAGCTCGCCGCGGCTGCCAGCTACGAACACCGGCTCGCCCGCTACCTGGAGTGGTACGCCAGCCTGGCCGAGCCGCCCGCGGTGGCCATCTGCTCTTGCAGGGCGCTCACCGATCCGGGCGGCGCGCTCGCCGTGGCCTTTGCGGCGCCCGGCATCCAGCATGTGCACGTCGCTTGCCAGGAGAACCTGGCCGTGCTGGCGAGCGGGCGCACGACGGCGCTGCTGCTCAACCTCGACGAGGACCGAACCACCGCCCTGCCCGTGTACAAGGGCTATCTCGTGGAGGAGGGTGTGCGTG